ACGATCACAGCTACTATGATTTGGATAATACAACTGCAGTTCTATAAAACATTCTTTGGTTTTTGCATGAACGTAGAAAAAATATTGTATGCAACTCGTGCAAAAAGTGTTTATTGCACGCGACGTGAAATTGTCCAACGAGGCCGTCAGGCCGAGTTTTTTTGCACTTGTTGCACAAATAACTATTAAAATAACTAAGTTGTTTGCTTTTTATTCTGGTTAAACACATAACCGATTAGATCATTCAATTGACGCAAGGACTATTAGCTCAGGTGGTAGAGTATCAAACTTTATCAACTTTACCATTTGAGACCTGGCGAGCGGCCGCGTTTAAATCCTTGCGGGGGCAGAATTTTTTTGTTTTTTTTTATTTTTTTTTTGTTTAGAAAATATAAAAATTGAATAAATACGATTATTATTGATTGTTTTTTTAAATTCATTTTATTTATTATAATATAAACCTCGTTTTACATTTCCGCATCAGCTGTCACATAATGTCAAACGCATCACTTCTATTTTGATTTATGTAATGTCCATATTGTCCATAATGTCCATATTAAAATTGACGATTAACTTAGATCCTAGATATTTATTTTTAACAATTATTAAAATAATTTTAAAATAACTACATACAACTCATTATTTTGTATTTTTATTCTGTTTAAACTTAAAATCGAATTAAAAAGGCATTTGAACTTTGGCTTACACGACGAGTCCGCGGGTCCGCGTTCAAAACTTGGTAGTTGCAGAATTTTTTTTTGTTTTTTGTTTTTTGTTTTTTTTTATTTCTGTTTCGAAAAATACAAAAATTGAATAAATACAATTATTGTTGATTATTTTTTAAATACATTTTATTTATTATATTAATAACCTGGTTTTACATTTTTTGATGAAATTATTTTGTGGTCGTAGGAAAAATATTGTACATCACTTGTGTGAAAAGTGATTTTCCACACTCGTGTGATAATCGCACTCGGCTTGTGCCTCGTGCGACAATATTTCCCACACGTGTGAAAAATGTCACTTTCCACACTCGTAATGTAATATACTATTATGTTTATAATTAGTGGTTCAAATATGATTTAACCTACAACGAAAAACTACAACTACAAGACCTCATTTATTACAAGCATTTAGTTGGTGTTTTATACTAGGTAGACAGAGCCGTCGCATCGGCTACTGTATGGGGTGGTTTGTGCGAGCTTGTTTATCTGAAATGTGAGCACGCGTTTCAGGAATGAATCAGATCGTAGTTATATAATTTCTGTTTACCAGCGTTGACACTATTACTAATTGCTGTACTTTCCCGTAAATCACTAAACAGATAATAACTGTCACTAAGAATGCATTTATACTTTCTTAATGTAATTTTTAAAGCCTCTTGTGCATTTTAGAGCCTTATATTAAGTCAATTCCGAATTATAAACAATTCTTGTACCAAGACTCTCCCATACTCTCCTTTAATAGTTTAAAAACTACTTGGATAACACTGTGAATGCTTGCAATTCGGTTTTTGCAAACAAAATTAGCGTAGAATAAGAAGACTGGGAATGGTGTACGCACTAGACAAATGGATTAAAGTGAAAATCATACACCAGTGGATAAATACAAAATTGGAAAACATTGTATTAGAAAATTAAGCAGAGCGTTTTCGGCTTAACAAAGCCATCATCAAGCCATCATTAAGTTTGTATTTCGTCTGATAGTTTCTTTTTTATAAAAAAAAAATAAACAAATACATGTCCACTTTACTACTAATACTTGTATCAGATTTTGGCCTATACACGACTATATCAACATATTTATCAACTTACTTATTTTTAAAACAATTACGGCCGTAATACTATTGCGCAAGTACGGCTTGCACTTGGTCAATTTTTTTTCTATGAAGCTTTATATTCTATCTATCTATTAAAACAAAGTAAAGGGGTAATGCTAATAATTCGTTCTTGCTAACACACATCTGTTCTACATGACATATTATTTTCAAAAATGCTGCAGCTTCTAGCATTCGCGGGCATTAATTGAAGTGGCTGCTGAATGTTGAAAGTTTATGTTTTAGGAAATGCTGGGACAAGAAGAACAAAGATTGTAAAGACCTTTTAGACAAAGTCTCTAATGAAAATGAAGACAATACTCTCGTAGAATATATCCGCAAAATCCTTTTATAACCGCTGTAAAAGCACAACCCAAACAGAACACGACGTCTATTGGACGTCTGTATTTTGTCCAAACAATCTCCTGGATGTCCATGAACTTTATACGGATGTCCATTAGGCATCCATTTTCCGTTAGTCCAATGGATATACCCATTCAGAAGTCACACTATAAACATGGCAAACTTGATTTTACTAGACATTTTGCAGATTATTATTAACATGTATTATTAACTTAAAACTGTGTTTGTCTTATAATAAGATATTTTTTTATAATTTTTAATGTAAATTATAATAATTTTTAGAGACAATAAATTATTATAATTCTTCTAGTATAATTTAGTTAATTATAACTAGCTTTTAATTAAAATAAATGAATTATTTCTTCTCATCTTCACTTCTAGGCTGACACGATTCACTCGATACAAAGTAAAAGGCCATTCTGGCCAGAATCGAAGAAGATAAGAAGAAAGAGGTTGAGAACGGCCCACGAGTTCGAGTTTGGATAGTTTGTTGTCTGGTAAAAAAATAAGTATAATCAACATTAAGTTATTTAAAACTCCAAAAATTAAAAATAAAATATAACCTAATAATTATGTTGTAAACTTTATATTTTCAAATTATATTCAAAGAATTCCTTTCTTATTGACATGTCAAATTATGGATTATGTATGCAAGAAAATAGCTATGTTAGAAGCAAATTCATATGCTGCAAATTCGAGATGATGTCAACACAATTATTAGCTTTGTTTGCGGTAAGAATTCTAAACCGAATTATTACTAACAGTAACGATTTCGCAGGCGTAATAGTTAAAAAGCGTTCACGGAACAAAAATAACTGAACTATTGGTTCTATCCTGCGTTCGCGGTAAAATAATTATTGGTTTTGAACCGCTTGTCTATACCTGAAACACCGAGATATAATAGGGATTGCGCACGCGATAAAAATTCAGAATTGATAATGATTCGGGCATGCGCTCAAAGTATGAATTAGTAATTCTGAATCAGTTTAGTATTGTTACCGCGAACAAAGCTATTATTGTAACGAGGTGACTAACTCCAAAAAAAAGTTTCCATGTGTACCGCATGAGACGTTAGCAGGAGTAAAAGGCTATTTAGAAGATAAAAGAAAAATATTTTTAAAGAAGCTGTAAGTTTTACTTCTAATAAATAAAATAGAATCGTTTTGTAATGTTTAAGAAATAATGCATTAAAAGTGGTTTCATGAGTTATTTCTATTTAATGTTCACAAATATATATTTTTATTGCAATTTTAGATTCAGCAGTTACCAAAACCAGAACTTACGTACGAATTTATAAAAAGATGTTTTGTTGCCATAATTAATAATACCCTCACGAAAAAATTCACATAATATGTTGGTACGAAAATAAAATGGTCATTAAAAGAAACAATGAGCAGTTTTTTGTTTATATAATAATAATAATAATAATAATATAATAATAATAATACTCTCCCTAATTCACCCCCTTACGAGTGAATTTTAACCCCAAAAGCTGAGCTTGTCCGGGGAAAGGGACGGCTATTATTATTATTTGCCGTGGCGCTCCGGGGCGACTTAAAGATGATTGATGGTGCCATTTGACTTACAGGTGAGGAAAACCCGGAAAACCTCACCCACCATCATCGAGACGGTAATGTATGGCGAATTTTTTTAATCTGCATGTCATATCAACAGAAATTGAATTTCTATTAATACGCCACACATCAAATCCTAAACCGAACCATGCAATTTAATTAAAAATCCACATGGTCTGGTCTGGGATTCGAAACCCAGCAGTCTCAGACTCATAAACTTGCCTATAAATGAATATAAGCGCGATAGACCGCTACACCACCGTGCCCGATATATGTAAGTAAAAGAATAAAGTACTTTAGGTGGTTAATGAATATTCTCATGTTAGTTATTAAAATTGTATTTAAAAGTTCACTATTTTTTACTTACAGTTTTACCTGATCTGGCGTTTGTTAAAAATATGTCTTTTTTGGCTACTGCTGAAAGCGACTATGGTACTGCTTAAAAAGTAAGTGAAATAGCCATAAGAAAAAAATTAGAAGTTCGACAACTACATTCTTGATATTATTTATGACAATAAAAATATATCCATAGTTGCAATTATTTTATTTCTTATTATTGTAGATGACGATGTTTATCAGATGTCCGTAAATTGTCCAAAAGCAACACAAAAAGAGTCCATATATGGACCTTTTATGCAGTCCAAATAGACATCCAGGAGTGGGACATTTGTATAGTCCAATGGATATCCATTGGACGTCCTTCGGTAAAATGCTGGATATCCTTTAGACAGCCGATATATCCTTCAATAGGCTTCCAAAGGACATTCAGTGAATTGACGTGTGCTCTCAGGATCTCTCAGAAGATATCAAATGCGTTTAAAACAAACTGGCTTAAATAAAATGGTGCTGCTGCATGCTAAGTATTTTTAGCATCAGAAATTGAACACAGGAGAGTCCAGTTTGCAAATTAATTTTCAATTCAGGAGGGGAATTTTGGAACAACGTGATTCTCCCCAATCGATAGACGTTGTAATCTTCTAACAGCGGAAAGCTACGAGCTTATTGTTCTGAATAAGCGTTAACGGTCCTGGAATGTGCTGGAAAATTGATGGGCGATTGACAGTCGACCATTACATAAACATATTAGACAATGTGATATTATCATCAGCAAGAGAAGTTGTTCTGATAATTTTATTTCTCAACATGTAAAAAATTAGTTTGATATACTCGTAAATGTTTATAATAATTGAAAGGGAGTTGGTCAACAACAATAACAATAAAAACAACAACAATAACAACAACAACAGCAACAACAATAACAATAACAACAAGAACAACCAGAACAAAAACAACCAGAACAACAACAACCAGAACAACAACAACCAGAACAACAACAACAACGAAGACGACGACGACGATGATGACAGAAGCAACAACAAAAACAACAACAGCATTAACAACAATAACAATAACAACAACGACGAAGACGACGACGATGACGACGACGACGACGACGACGACGACGACGACGACGACGACGACGACGACGACGACGACGATGATAATGACAGATGCAACAACAAAAACAATAACAGCATTAACAACAACAATGTTTTTCCATCGTTAGCAAAAAGTCCTGACCTAAATATCATTAAAAATGTATGGTGATTCATAGTCAAAAAGATATACCAAAGAGTCTTTAAGGGGCAAACCGCGGTTAACAATGGGAGGTTATTGAAAATATTTGGGAAGAGCTCATAAAGTCCTACGACACCCGGCGTTTAATTTTCTCCATGCCAAGAAAATTGGAAAGTGCTGTAGCAGACAATGGCTCTACAATAACATTAATAACACTATTCTTGCTATAGCTGTTAAATTTTAAGGACAACATTGTCTTAATTTCCTTTAGAGACCTTTTTCTGACCTTTCCTACATCTTGTCTAAAAGGTATTCGTAATCTTTGTTTTTCTTGTCAGCATTCTTAACCTAAAATATGCATTCAGCCTCTTCTTCAATTTATTACCAATTTTCGTCCAATTTTGCTATAGCCTTTGATTTTGAAGATTTATATCTTTAAATGTTAATATAATAATTTTTTTATTAGCTTCTGATTTTCTCTTATAATAAATAAACGCCATTAGTAGTTTTATAAGTCTACAAATTAATTCAATTTTGTAATTTTATATTCTTTTAATTTTTTTATTGCCCATTTCCATGCACTAATAAAAGTAATATATTTTTGTTCTTAATATTCTCTTCTCTCTTTGTTAGACCACTGACCAAGCCAGACGTACAGAAATGAATTTTAGTAAAAAAATCCTATGACAACCAAAGAGGCTTTACATTTTGGTTTCGCTGACTGTACCTACAACTTATAGCCTTTTTCACTGGCAGTGGCAGTACGAGTATATGTATGTCCTTGTTTATCGATATGGAAAAGAAGAATAAGAAAAAGAATATCAATATCAATTGCCACTGAATAAACAACCACAGAAAATAAATGTTAATCACAGCATGGCAGACACCAGTAAATGTCTTCAAGAACTTACGGCTGTAGAGCTAACTACCCTTATTGAAAAAATTGTAGAAAAGGCTAATTCATTGCAGACAAATATTATAAAAAAAGAAATCTCTGGCATAATTGATAATGTTGTGATTGATCTTGAAGAAAACAAAAAGTTAGTAAGGGTTACTTCAAAATAAGATTAATTCTGTTGAGAGAAAAGTGCGAAAAAATTTTTGGTATGGTCGTAAGAAATAAATTAAATTTGCTGCAAGAAGTTACTGACACTTTAAACAACCTATTGGGAATCAAAATTACCCATCAGGATATCAATAACATATACCTATTGGACAAAAAAGAAACTGTTGTTTTAGAATTTATTTCTTTCCTAAAAAAAACAAGATATAAAAACATTAAAAAATTGAAGGGTACTGGTATAGCGATAGCCAACGATGCGTCCCACGAAGACCGAACTAAACAAAGAATATTAGTACATCATTTAAAAGAAGCCAAAATCCAAAATCTTTCTGCCCGCATAAAAGGTTTTCCACTGGAGATCGAAGACAAACTATATACAGTAGAAGATCTCAAATAATTAGAAGAAAGTCTAGTCTCTTCGAGTGACTCAGAGGAAGGAGACATAGAAACGAAAGTAAATAGCAGATGTCAACAAGGATCTACGTCATCGCCAGTTAATACAATAATTTCATCACACTTGGCCGAAAAAAAGAAGCTGTCGATGAAAGTTAGTCAGAAGTCGAAGAAATCTAATGCTCACTACAGCCCAAAGACAAGAAGTTCCATGCAAATAAAGAAATAAATTCTGAATTTGACTCGTTGCCAAGTAAATTTTATAAGCATTTTTCTTTTTATATTTAGTTTAAGAATCACATTTTTACATTGGTTAACTTATCGCAATACCTTGGTGGAATAGTATTCTATAAAAATTATTTTATTTAATTTTCTTCTGTTTAGATTAGGTTTAAAAAGTTTAAAAATTTGTGCATTTGCCATTGGAATACTCGGTCAATATTATCTAAAATTAATTTTGTCAGGAATAAAATTGCAAATAAAAATACGATATATTCTGTATATCTGAATCGTGGTTGAATAAAAATATATCTGATGATTCTATTAAAGTTGCAGGATACAAATGTTATCGCAATGATAGAAGTGATAAACTTGGAGCGGGGTATGTATGTACGCACCAAAATTGAAAAAATTGTTAAAAGCTTCTATCAATCACATCCGTAGCGTTATATCTTTATCTATTTTCAAAAAAAAAACGTCGAATGACTGACCTACTTATGATAAAATAAAAAAGGACTGTTTTTATAGGCACCGAAGTCGTAATATGAATTTTAAAGGCCCGTCCGTAAATCAAACTAACAAATTAACTTCAAAAGGCTATAAGTTACTTCAAATTCAGACGTATATAAATGTTTGCCATTAGCATAGGCAGCGCTACTGTGGATAATAAATCAAATACAAGAGAAATAACTTGTTATATCCATTGTATAATGATGTTGTTTTCATCCCCTTTCATTAGAATATGCAAAGTTTACGTCGACAGCGAGGACTATATATTCTACGAGGGGGTTTATTGAAATCACACGAAAATATTGAAGGGTTTGTATTAATATACCCATTAAATAATTTTTCAATGCTATAAAACATGTATGATATAGAAATCCAATTTTAAATACATTTTAGTATTCTTACGCAAATATGTTGTTCACGCAATTTTAAATTGGGCGAAGACTGACGTTGTTAAAGTTGTCAACGTACTAAATTAAAAAGACATTATCTTATTGGTCACATTGATTTCAATTGCTCTTTTTTCATGAAATGTGATTACCTGTTTTGTAACGCACCTTCTAGTTTTTTGCCTAGCTGGTTAATAATGCTTCTTTTGCTTGATATTACAGAATAAATAAAATCGGAGACTGCAGTTTCAAATAACACCTTATTTAATCCCTAACAAGTTCTGTGAATAATATCATTAATCTTCTAATGATAGTTAAGTATCATAAAATATTGAATTTAAAACCTTCCAAAGAGATGTTTTTAAATCAACCTTTGGAGGTACATATTCAAAGTGTAAACTTAAAATCTAAGAGTTGAGTTGTGGTCAGTATTAGGACACTCCCACTTATCGCGACATTAAGGTTGCTGTTCAATAAGTAAATGTTTGTCTGGCTCAACGACGAATAACTACTGGACTAATATTTGGTGTTTTTGGAAACTTACTCTGATCAGAAAAATTATGAATCCTATTGTTCGTTTACCCAGGGTTACAAACCTTATCCCTGTTCGGTAACCATAGTTCGGGACACACTGAGAATGCAGTATGGTCAGACATAGGCAATATATTTCTAATGGGAGACCGGCCGGTTGCCAGCTGTCTTTCCGATAGCTGTGACAGGGTACCCAACAAACAACAAATTGCCGGGATATTGCTGGTATTTTGCTGTAATTGAAGGGAAAATGAATGCGACGATTAAAATATAAAAGCTTACTTTTGGCCTTTCGATAGTGGCCCAGCATTATGTTGCTTGATGATGGCCTTATGAAGAGTAAGTAACTGTATTGGGTAAAAGTTAAAAGGCTGTTAACTGCTGCAGTCCCAACTCCAACAGACCAGTAGGGCTCCGTCCCGCGTTCATAGATGGAGACACCAATGATCGCTTGTTACATACTAAATGAATGGACATGTACTACGAGGCCAGTCTCGCATTGCTGTTATTCACTATTTAGTTTCCATTGTAATTTTTTACTTTTACATGTTAATTTAAAATATTTTATGAATAATTTTTTGAGAAAAACATTTTTTTTGCATTATTATATTATATAACTGAATTAAATAAAATGTCTACAAAAATGCCTTCTGTTTTTATATAGAATTTATGTTTTAAACGGTACTACTGTTCAAAAAGGCACTATCGAATATCCTGTCTGGTCATGTGCCTGACACATGGTCTTTATTGAGCAGTCAGTATTAATATGGTAAAAAGCCACAAATTTCCTGTTAACTTCCGATCAATAGGCAATTAATTGCCAATATATTTATTTTTAGACATTAAAAGGAAAATGGAGGCCTATTAACTAGATTTAATGGCTAAGTGACTTCTGCCCAACTGTTGGGCGTAGTGACCTATATATACCCATCATTACAATTGGAGGGTAACATTTATTTGGCCTTTTATTATCCTGCACAAAATATTTGCTGTGTAGGCTCAGTAGTAGCCCTTCTTGATGTCTAATTGGGCGGCTTTCTGCCGAAAGGAAGCAACCCACAAATTTGTGATTATTTTTAGACTTTTACATAATATTGCATTAAGAACCGTAACCTTTATTGCAAAAAAAGATCCAGGCCACATTCTACTACCTAGCGTTATTTGTTAGCCAATGAACCAACCGACTAAATTGGTTAAGCAAGTAACCTGCCTGCAGAAGCTATCGAAGCGGTTTAGTTGCTTTCTGCATAATAGAGAAGAGTTGATGATAGTTCGTTAATCTCCTACGAGAGTGCGTATTAATTATTAAAAATAGCAAAACGAATATTTTTGGATGTTGAGAATAAAAAAGTTAGCTATTTAAAAATACGTAAAATTCTTTTTGATAAAAAAACCATTTTCAATTTTGTCTGTAAAACAAATTATGAAGTATGCTGAAAGTAGATATCAGAAAAACAAATGGGTGGTCCGGCATTATTTAAAAATCTGTGATTCACCTAATTCAGAACGACTGCATACAATTTTATAAACATATAACCGCATGGTCATCGACCACAATGTGGATGAATTCAGCGGAGCGCTTAATTTTGAACTGAAACCTATAATGGTGGAATAAATTAAAAAGACAATATTTATTTTTTTACCTACTTATGTTATGTTGGGAATGGGGTGTTAATACACTGCGACCTAAGAGATATATTGTGTCCCCTTCTGTCGCTAGTGCAGCAAGGAAATATCTCGATGCCTATAACGACTCTTCTAATCCTATCTACTCAAGGAAGTGTAGGATATGGAGTGGCTTTAAGTTAGGTAAATCTCCCTCTTCTATTTAATATGCTCCTAGGTATAATGCCTTTAGATTATAGAGTGCTACACATTCAGTCAGAATACTATTTTGAGTCAACAATGCCCAATAAGAATCCCTGTTGCCATGCTCTTGCTCAGGCAGATACAGGCTTCCAATCCTTTCTGGTTATATTCATCAAGAAGTATCTTAGCTTGTTTTAGCATGTCTTAGCATGTCTTAGCATGTCTTAGCATGTCTTAGCATGTCTTAGCATGTCTTAGCATGTCTTAGCATGTCTTAGCATGTCTTAGCATGTCTTAGCATGTCTTAGCATGGCTTAGCATGTCTTAGCATGTCTTAGTCTGTTTTTGCCTGTCTTAGCCTGTCTTAGCCTTTCTTAGCCTGTCTTAGCCTGTCTTAGCCTGTCTTAGCCTGTCTTAGCCTGTCTTAGCCTGTCTTAGCCTGTCTTAGCCTGTCTTAGCCTGTCTTAGCCTGTCTTAGCCTCTTAGCCTGTCTTAGCCACAGGAGACTGTTTTAAATATCAATTCTTCTACTGCCCAATTCTTTTGTAATCCCCGCTAATACTGTTCTCCTGCTGATACCGCAGAACGGATTGGGCCGCACAAATGGTGTTTTAGCCCCTTTCCTTGCGAGACTATCTGCAATCTCGTCACCCTTTACCTCGTTATGTCCCGAGCCTCAAGTGAGAGTAAATGTATTTATCTCACCTAGCTCATTCAGTTTTTCTAGGCATCTCCAAACAATTTTTGGCTATCGGACATGACGATAATCTTTTTACCTACTTCCTTTAACAATAAAATATCTTTAACCAAACACTGCTAACACTTATTTTACAGAAACGAACCGACCAACAAAAACCAAAAAATTCAAGTAAAATATCTTCTTTCTTAAATTTGTAAGGCTAGCGCCACATTAGACAGACGTTCAGCCGCCGTTCTTCAGCAGCAGAACGTCTGCTACAGACAAATCCCATAGTCTCTTACGAGCAAGTCGTTAACTCGCTAAATTAAGCTGAAAATCGGTTAAAACTCGTAGCATTTGAACTTACTACTCAAAGATCTGCGACTCATTTTCGGCGGCTGAATTTCTGCCAATAACACAGTGTGCCGGTCTCCTATTAGAAATACATTGCCTACGTCTGGCCATACTGCATTGTCAGTGTGTCCCGAACTATAGTTACCGAACACGGATAAGGTTTGCAACTCTAGGTAATCAAACAATAGGATTCATAATCTTTCTACCTGAGAATTTATTGTATACGCATATTTAAAGCCCATGAATGTTTAATAATTATTGTCAAAACTTAATTACATAATAACTTTTTTTTGGGGTTGGTTAAGTTGCGATTTCTTACATGCAACATGGAGTTAAGAAATTTAAACACGGACAAATTCTCCATGCTAGTGCGAAAATTGTGATTTTTAGTATGAAGTCATGCTTCCAAAATGAGTCAGTGAAAAACAAATTAAAGTATCAAAAAACAATGGGGAATTAAAATCTCCTGCAAGAATAAAATGCGGATAAAGCAGTAAAAATTCTCGCGAATATACA